GATGGTTTGGGATGTTCTGTGTGATATACACACAGAAAAAAATCAACAAATTAAAAAATGTATTATTGAGGAAGAAGCATAAAAGTTTACATCTTGTTAATTAGTAGAGGTGATGAACATTACCAATAAAATCTACCTGATGGCTTTATAGACATACACAGGTGCCAAGGATCCGAGTGCAAACAATTATGACTGGTAATAATCAGATACATACAGATTAGAGACACATGCACCAACATCTCATTGTTAGTAGCAAAAACAATGAGTCTTTCTGTAAGAAACAGTATATTTTAGAATGAAATGGGGATCTTTTTTGAATCTCATTCAGTTTTATGTTTTAAAGGGCTTATACTGAGTTCAATAATGTATAACTAGATTGATTCAACAGTGAACCTAGAAAGTTTATAGCCACTTTTGAAGGAGCTTAGTCTTTGTTCTGGAAACTGTTATTTGGCATGTTAAAGCTGTAATGATATGCTGCTTCTAAAAAAAATAAAAAATATTTAAAAAAGTAGGAAACAGCAATAACAAAAAAATAGATTGACTAGAGAAATGCCCAAATTTGTTTACTCATCTTAAAAGACTGTATGATGTGCTCCAAATTTCACAGCTTTTGTATAAAATTTATTAATTATAACTTTGTCATCTAGTGAAATACTCAATTTTGTAAAATAAACAAAAAAGTCTACTTTCACTACTATGAGAAGCTTTTTACTGTACAGTTGGTTCCCAAACAGTAATGACAGAGAGATGCATTTCAATTCTGCAATTGGTTTTATTGAGGGGACTGCCACAGGAAGTATTGGGCTTCTCTAAAACAAAACTAGACCTCAGAGCCTTTAAACATAGATCTGGACAGGAGCATAGTCACTCACATACATATGGCGTAGTCATTTAATAATGTGTCTTTGTGGCATGAAAAAGTACAAAATGATGAAATTGTCACTAATTTGGGGGTGCAAGATTTCAGCTGAGTATACTTTCTCCTTGTTAGGGTATCAAAAAAGCCCTGTTAAAATGAACTCGTTATTGTAAAATCTCTAGTCTTTCTGAAGACCTTTCTTTCCAGTTTCACTGGTCAATCATCTGGTCATAGGACCACCCCTGTTAGATGTAGGAGGGCAGAAATGGAAGGAGTTTAAAGTTAAGAAATAAGGACCAGAGCCAGACCTGCAACAGGCAAGGAATGTGTCCTCTTCATTCGGAGAACACAGCAAAGGGCTGAAAAGCCCTTCCACGGAATGAGGGTGTCTGTATCAAAGGGCAGAGCAGTTTTGACTTATATAGGAATGCTGCTAAACACAGCTGCAGGAATTTGTTCAGTGCCAGGGTCTAGAGTCCTTGAAGGTCTCTCTCCCAAGATTTTTTTCTAAGGGAGGTATTCTATCAACCCCTAGGAAGGTGGGTTCACCTTTAGTTATGCTAAAGAGATGGGCAGAATACCTACTCATTAATGAGGTGAACTTTTTTTGACCAGAATCTTAGTGCAGTTCTTCTGGCTCTGGCTCACAGAAATGTGGAATTTTTCAGAAAAGTGTAATAATCCTCTTCTTTGTATCCCTTTCTAAGCTTTCCCTAATGCTTTGGGCTGCCCCAGCGTTTTGCATTTCTTTTCCTCTAAAGCTTCCTTCTCCCCACCACGTGGCTGCCAGTCTGCCACATCCGACCTCAAGCAGGCTCTAAACCAGCACACCTTCATGTTTTTTTCCTTCTCCCCTCCAGTCTCCTCCTCAAGGCAGCTGCTAAAATTCCCAGCTTGCCTGCCCTGTGGACTTTTCTTTAAATTCTAATAAAATTGTCCTAAAACTTCCACTTGAGTCCACCAAATTCTTTTCTGAATAAGACTAAGAATCCTCTAGGGGACTGTTTCTCCTCTGTGTCATCATGACTTAAGATTTTAGCTAACAGTCCCATATCAAGTGAATCTATAATATTAACTTGCAGATTTTTGTCCAATAAAGAAAATCAGACATCGTGGCATTGTTCTCCTTAATCGAGCAACCTTGTCTTCTGAGCTGGTGCTGCTGCTGCTCAGGCTGCAGTTGTCTGGCGACTTTTCTAGTTTCTGTAAAGGTTACACCCTTGTCATGCATGTACGGTCACTGGGTTACTGTCAGTTTAAGGACCAGCTACTAACAGGTGAGTTTGCCTTAAATCTCTGGAGCTTTAACAAATAGAACTCAACTGTTCTAGCCGGTGACGAGCACTCTGACCAATACCAACTTGGGGAGGAAAGGGTTTACATCTCCCAGGTCACAGTTCATCAGGGAACCCAAGGTAGGAACTAAGGGCAGGAACCTGGAGGCAGGAGCTTAAGCACAGATCATGGAGGAACACTGCTTACTGGTTTGCTCCCCTGGCCCCTGCTCAGCTTGCTTTCTTCTACAATATGGGACCACCTGCCCAGGGGGGGAACTGCCCACAGTGGGCTGGGTCCTCCCACACCACTCAACAATCAAGAAAATACCCCAGACAGGCCACAGACCAGTCCAATGGAGACAATTCCCCAACTGAGGCTCCCTCATCCATGTCAAGTTGACACTAAAGCTATCCACCACACCAACTCTTCACTGTTTACATAGTGGCTCTGAGCTGCAGCACTACCCTTAATGCTTAGGCAGGCTGTTAAGCTGCCTTAACCTTCAAATCCCTCTTGTGTAGAGACTAAAGTTAAAATAGAGGTGAATGCTTGGGGTCTTCTCATTTCAGAAAAATCCAACCCTGGGCATGCATACACATGGCTTTCTAGATATACTCTCTAGTGTAGATGGAAGCTTTTCAAAAACTGTACTTTCTCATGTTTGTCTTCTGGAGCTCTTCCTTCCCATTCCTCATCCTTTGCTCAGGGCTGATGGGCCTAATTAATGGATCTGTTTTAAATGCTTTTGAAAGCCTCAGGCAAGGAAGTTCCAAGGGGAGAAAGTGGCCAGCCCTGAGCCAGTTCTTCAGGACAGCCAGGCAGGTCAAAACACAATATAGTTCTGGAGAATGCGAGACTTCTCTGGTACCAACAGTTATATCAAGGATACAGGCTGCCAAGTTCATAGAGCCAGGTTAGGGAGGCTGGGGATGGTGGTGGAGCTTTAATACCCTGACACTCAGAACTCAGCAATTTCTGTCAAGTGATTAATTTTGCTTTCCCATAAATTGGACCCCAAATTTAGTAAAATAAAAACTTCACAATGCTTTATATTGAAACTATCTTTGAGATTTCCCTTTGGAAAAAATCATATATTTTACTATTTTTTTAATCAGTAAAGACAATTTATAGCAATACTATAACAGCAAATGTTGTAAGGAACACATAACTTCCAAGATTCAGCAAATGTCATTTACCGCAATATGGTTACGACCCCAAGACAGCCTGCTTGTAGCTCTACACTGAATGGTGTATTTCAGAACTAAATTAAGAAGCTAAGATGTAGATGAGTCAGATAAATCACTGGCTAAGTTGAGTTAGACCTTGAAGATGATGTAATCAAACGTTTTGCTTTACGAAGGAGAGTGAAGAGCAGAGATGACACAAGGTTACTCATATCCTCAGTCTTGGATCTTGGTCAACACTCCATTTTCCAACCTGGAGAAGCCCAGGGCTACCATTTCATTGGGCTTAATGTGTAACTGGGCCAAATGCATTCGTTGACTGGATCCCATGGTAAATGTGTTAAAAGCAGAATTACAAGGTGCTATATTATTGTTGCAAAATTCAGAGACACTGTGCATTGCCTTTAATCTGTCTTTAAATACTGGAGTCCTAGGATCATAAAGCTCGTATTAGGAGTAATTAGTTAAAAATGGTTACTGAAAACTATTTTGTTGTGGCTGCTTTTTCTAAGTATACAGAATGCATACCATACCAGCATATTTTAGAAAGAAAAATACCTGGAAATTATGTTTTCTTCAACACAGAAACTTGTCTTACACCACACCATTTAAATACAACTTAGGGAAAATGATTATTACTAGCACAAATTAATCCTCATGTTTAGGTTAAATTTTAAAAGCATTATACATTCATATCTAATATTCTTCATCCTAAAATTGGCAAGGTATGTATATGCCAATCTAAACAAATTTATAGGAAAATACTGAGGTTTGTTTTGATATGGGGGTCTCAGGTCGCCCAACTTGGTTTTGATCTGTATATACGTGTGTGTGTGTGTGTGTGTGTGTGTGTGTGTGTGTGTGTGTGTGTGCATCTTTTTGAAACAGGGTCTTGCTGTAGCCCCAGCTGGCCTGGAACTCATTACATAGACTACACTGGCCTCCATCTCAGAGATTCACCTCCATTTGCCTGTGGAATGCTGGGATTAAATGCATGCACCACCATGCCAAGCTGGGATATAGGAAGATTTAAAATCTGCACAAATGCTTAATGAAATGTCATGTTCTAGAAAGAAGTTATTTATGCTAAATGTTCCCTTGACATACAGCCCTTATAAAAACATCTGCATATTGGGGCTAGAGAGATGGCTCAATGGCTGCTCTTGCAGAGGACTTGAATTCAGTTCCCAAGCATTCACATGGTGGCTAAGAGCTATCCGTTATTCCAGTTCCAGGGGAATCTAATGCCCCCTTCTGGCCTCTGCAGGGATTGCAAGCACAGGTGTGCTTATAAACATGCAGACAAAACACTCATTACACACAAAGTTTAAAAACAATTTTTTAAAAAACCTGAATACTTATCACCCAGTACAGTAACTTACATGTAATAGGCCAATAAAAATGTTCTAAATAGACACAAGAGAGGCAAATTAATCTTTATTTTTAACCTTCAGTCACTTTGGAATTACATCAGGTGCTCAAAATCTTTGATAGTAATCTTAACATTTTGAAAATAGACAGGACACTGGAACCTCTAATGAACCAGTATTTACAGAATGGCTTCTATCACATAATTGCTTTGGTAAACTGCCTACTAAAAGTATGTATCAAGTGCTTTATGTGGACCAAAAACAAAGCAAACAACAAAAAGCAAGAAATCACGAGGCTCTACAAAATAGCTTAGAAAAACAAGTTTTCTATTTATTTAAAAATAAGTTTATAGTTACTACATTGCAGGGACAGGAATTCTTACACATACATTCTAGTTTGTATAAAAGGATTCAAAGAATTATGCATCAAAACTAACATAGAAAGTGTCCACGTAACAGTAAAGAAAGGTCCAATCAATATGTACAAAAAGAAAGGGCACTGCTATCGTGGCGAGAGACTGCTGTTTATAACATGATACTCCAGGTCTAGTAGGGATCAAACAAAAACATCAATAAAGCTAAATAACTTTTAAAACTCTGTGTTACTTATTACATACAACAGATTTGCTTGTGTTTAACATTGCTTTCTGTACAAAATAAACATAATTTTAATTTGAAATGTGTCAGTTTCGACTTTAACCCTCTAGGTTAGTTACTTTTTAAAAAGTGAGCTATGTTCTACACATGTCTAAATATCCCAGAACAGGATTTAATAGTTTTCTTAGACTTTATAAGACCTGTCTTCTTGCATTTTCAATATGGTCCAAAAATGTAACATGGTGTCTTATTTTTCAGTCTATCCTTGTGACAAATCAACACGCACATCTTTAAAAGCCAGCCGCATGTGTGCACCTGCTTCATAAGTGCGTGTACTATAATACAATCTCAAACCTATTCTTAGTTCCTTGAATGTAGAAACTCATCCATATACTACTATGTATTTGGTTTGTGCCATATATTTAATTTCCTGATAATTTTATCTGCATTACAAAAAGTATTTCAAAACAGAGCTATTGAAATAATATATATACATATATATATGTACATACACATGTGTATATATATGTATTTATAGCTCAGACATTCTACTCACTGTAGTGTGTACACAGGTCATCTCCAGAGTGCTCAAAGTGGTACTTACAGTCTTCTGACTCGATCTGACCTCCTTCTGGGTACTGAACATAGTTCAAAATGACTTTCCACTTAGAGCACTTTGATAAGTATGATTAAATTAAGAGTAAGATAGTTTCTTAGTAATGCATTATTAATTTTAGTTCAAGTCACTTGGAAATGAGGGGCGTTAAGGGGAAGTGTAATGATAGAAACAAAAGGTGCATTTTTTCCAATTTTAATATGAAGATAAATTCTCATCTAATCAATCTATTATTGTTAGAAATATCTTCTAGGTAAACTGGGAGTAATGCATTGACGACAAAAGCAGTCTTCCTATTGTACTATACAAGTTTTAAAATACTACACTCCCTGCATATAAGATGAACATTTCTTTTCACTCAATAATATCTTGGTCCTTTTCAACCTATTCAAAAACAAATTTCAGGTGAACAGAACATTAAAAATGAATTTGTTTTCTTTAGAGAGGAAACTGAAAATCAAAGTTTTCAGTTTACATTTATGGGACATGTATGGACACCTACCCATGTAAATGGAATGTCAAAATTAAACACTGTTAACTGAAACCGATTTATATATTAAAAATAGTATTTTATAACATGTAAATATTGCTAACATCACAAAGGGTAAAAATATTATTTGGTTAATCTCAACTCTAGCTAAGGCTGGTTGTTTCAACATGTGGCATGAGGATGTTTGTTTCTGTTCTTTTAAAATTCATCTCCAAGTGAAACTAAATTCAGTTAGTCTCATATTTCAGATGTAGCCTAATCAAACTCACAAATACTCCATAGTTATTTTAATTCTAATTACAGTTAAGACAGTTTTGTAGTTATCGACCTGTCTTTAAAATCACAGTGAAGCTGTACAATAAAGACAATGAAAAGAAGACCAATAAATTTTCAGTTCATCTTTATACACAGAAGAGACTAGAAAAGGAAAGACTGCTCTAGAGAAGAGGGCAAGGGAAGTGTTAAGAAGCTAAACAGCTACTTCCACAGGCTGATAGGCTGTGGTTAGCTGACCCTTTATGAGTTACTCAGCAACTTTATATTTTCTATTAACCTGGGGCTTGAGATGTTGGACAGAGTAAGAGAATATTATGGCTGAGTATTAGAAATACATATTGATTTCTTTTTTGATGTTGTTGCTGTTGCTTTTTGAGACAGGGTCTTATGTAATCCCTAGTCTTAGATCTGTTTTGCAACTAAAGCCTGCTTCTGTCTCCCAAAGGCTGGGGTATGTACCACCATGCACAACTTGAAAACTGATTTCTATATTCTATGCATGTAACCAATTTTCTTTTTGAATCCTTCAGTAAACTTGAGATTTTTCTTATCGGTTGCCTAAGTGCCAACAATTCCTTCTGGCCTATAAAAAGTACATATATAATGTCACTGTCTCGAAGAAGAGTTCTTTCCAAGTGGCAACAACAAACCCAAAATACGATGAATTAAATTTCTTAATTCAACTTTTGCAACTAAATTATAAAAATATAAAATCTACACCTGGTATTAATAAATTTTTAAGTGTTTCAGTTACAAATAATCCGATCCAAGTAATTTTGCTTTACTAAGAAACCAGTGTCTGAAAATGCCCAAATATGGTCAAAAATATACAGTGTCTTACAAGAGAAATAACATATTTCATCATTTATAGGAAAGATGGGAAATACTTATTCACTGCTCAAGAGTTGGAACTATCTGTGCACCATTCTAGAGGTATTCTACACCAAGACTGTCCATGCTTCGTTTTTCTAAACACACTTTAAAACTATACATGTTTTATAAAAATGGATTTTAGTCTTATTTTCCTAACACAATGCAGATAACACCAGGAAATTATGTATTTCAAATAGATCGCCTTCAAAAGCAACTAATTAATGACTTAAATTTCAGCATACTATCATTTTCAATAATGGTGGAATTGACTCATATTTCTATACAACCAAGTCATCCATTTCTGCATTATGAAGTTAATTACTGAATTTTAATTATATAGTTCAATATATTTGTTAGAAAAAAATAAATGTACAAAAAACCTGAAAAATTTGAAATTATTTTTCAACTGTAAAATCACAGCAATCCAGTTAAGATCTGGAAATGGTTTACTGAATGTCACAGGATTTCTGTACAAATTTAGCTACAAACAATCTAAAAAGTTCAAATGCATCACTTTTCATTCTTCTTCAAGACAGTTAAATGACAGTTAACGTTTATCCTTATCAGAAACAAGGAAATAAATATATAATGGAGTTTTATTTCTGGATTTTCTTTTTCTCTATCAGGGTTCATGCCGATATATATTTTCCCATCTTTTCTTTTTAAAAATGTAGTATCTGAAAATGTTGGTTACATTTTTGTACCATATCAGTCCTCAGAAAATACTACATTCTTTAAACTTTAAAAAAAAAAATGAGTAATTTTAAACAATAGAAATGCCATTTATGTTGGTTTTCAAGGTATAAAATAACTAATGTACCATAAACAAATAAATAACTGCTTTCCTTTTCCATAGCAGTACATATAGTAATACATTCTCCTAAGTCATATAGTTATCATTTACAATAGACAACTTAATTTTACTAATGATGCAAAAAATAATAGAATACAAGGCACAATCATTAAATGGGAGCTTTTCTTTAGGGTGTATATTGACATACCAGCATGATAAGGATACCGTAAAAAGTGCAGAAAAACACAATGTGCAATGAGACCACTGTATAAAACATGATTGCATAAAAAGTGATTTGGCCTATTTTAACCTTTAATAATTGAAAATAACTAATCTCTCCCTTAAAATTAAACTATAAAGTATGACATTTTAAAATTATTTTTATTCTACCACTATCTAAAAAATCCTGAAAAAAGAATTTATACCTGGGTAATAGTAAGTATGTGTTTGTATATATATTCAATTATACCCATTTATCAATATATACACACACAGACATGTTTCTTTGTAAGTCATCTTAGCTTATCAGATATGTCTAAAGTTTAGAAATGACATTAATCCAGATCAAGCACATATCAAATCCCATACTTTTTTCCTGTAGTCTCCTTGAATCCTTAACCACTTAAAACATTTTTCTCTAAGATATCTCTGTCAAAAGGACCCCACCAGTGCATTATTTCCAAAGTACCAAAAAAAAAAAAAAGATACATCTCAGCATAGCTCTGTAATAACTTGTTCTTTAGAATATATAGCTTTTCTGATACTGAAAAGTGTATGCTGTCCCAACAATCAAAAACAGGCTTTCCACTGCACTGATTCTCAGTCTTTGGCACAATAAACAGAGACTGGGTGACTTATGTAAGAATCAAGGTCTGAAAAATTAGACAGTCAAATGTTTTCCAATGTGGATATGTCTCCTTTTCATCAATACATTTTCTCCTAAATTTGGCAGACATGGAGTAAAACAAAAGCTTCCTCTAAATATTCTGTAGACGAACATTCTATAACTAAATTAACACTTTTCAGGATTATCAAATGGTGGGAACTTTAAAATTTTCTTTAGAGGAAACATTTCTCAATTGGCTGCTACTCTGTAACATGTCTTCTTAAGGGCATGACTTCTGTGTCAATAAAAAGTACCTACTTGGTCAAAAGTAACTCATTTTAACACAAAACGATTTTTCATTAGGAAAACCATGCTTCAGAGTGTAGCAGAATTGTTTCTTCCACAAATCAGGACTTACAGGTCCTCAATTTCAAATAGTGAATGAAATAAATGTGGAAATGCATAATCTACCTAAGGGGAATAAATAGCAAACATTTAAAATATATATATGTATATATATTTTTTTCATTCAAAGAAATGAAGTATCTTCTACATTTTTTTTTTCTTTTTTGCAAGTCAAATTGTTAACATTCCCTAATCCGTTATAGCAGCAAGGGAAGCAGAAGCCGTGCTCTACTAACTCCTTAACTGTACCTGCTTTTAGACATCCTTTTTGGTTCAAGTTACCAACCAATTAAATTAGCTTTTGCTTTTTCAGTCAACTTCCGGACTCGTCCTCTACTAGAAGTTCCAAAAGTCAAAGAGGTGTCTTCGAACAACAGCTGCCTTTGTTCTTCTTCAGAGTCATCCTCATTGTAGAAAGCTGTCCTTCGACCTTGGTTTCTAGTTCTCATATGAGGTTCAGAGCCTTTGAGCTCTTCAAATTCTTCTTCTTCATCTATAGGGTCATCTGTTTTTTTCCGGTTACTTCTCCTTAACACTTTAACATCTGTAGGAACTATGAGATCTGAATCCAGTTTTTGTGTTTTCATCTTCCTTTTGGGTTTTCTGCCTCCACGACTCTTTTTCTGTAACAAATCCTCCTTAACAATATTAGTTTCAGAAAGAAAGTTGCATGTTGAAGACGGAACCACATCAGCTCTGAGGGGATGCATGTTATTTTGCTCTGAATTTTCTTGCTTTGCACATTGTAGCTTTTTGGGCTTTCTACCTCTTTTCTTGTGTATAACTTCACCACTATTGGTATTAACTTCTACCTTAGGTTTCCTTCCAGGACCCCTCTTCACAAGTTTTGATGGCTGTCCTCCATGGCCATTTACTTGAATGGTTTCTGGTATAAGAACATTGTTCTTACAATCTCCTGAAAGAGAACAACATCACAATATACATAACTATTTAAAAAAAAAAAAAATCAGCCCTCAATAGTACATGCCCATACAATGACATAATCAGAAATGTTTTCTATGAAAATGAGAAAAAAACTGACAAAGAAATTTTTTTTATTTTTAGTGTATGAGTGAACTGTCTGCATTATGTAGGTGTACTTGTGTCATGCCATGCCCATAGAGGTCAGAAGAGGACGTCAGACCCCCGGAATTGGAGTTTAGATAGTTATTAGCTGCCACATGGATGTCTAGGGATTGAACCTGGGTCTTCTGAAAGAGGAGCCAGTGCTCTTAACTGCTGAGCCATCTCTCTAGACCCAGAATTGACAAATTTCTGCAGCGACTACCTGGAGAAAGATTCCTTTTACTTTTAAATTTGTGTGTATGTGTGTTTGTGTGCTCGTGCATGATGTGTATGTGTGGGTGTTATGTATCATGTTGTGAACATGGTCAAAGGAAGCCAACTTTGGGGAGTCAGTTCTCTAACTCCACCCTTACATGTGTTCTGGGCGTGGAACTCAAGACTGCCTGACTTGCATATGCAAGTGCCTTTACCCACTTGACTCATCTTGCCACCAATTCATTAAAATGATTCTTAGAGGCTGGAAAGATAGCTCAGCGGTTAGGAACACTGGCTGTTCTTCAAGAAGACCTGGGTTCAAATCCCAGCACCCACATGGCAGCTAACAACTGTCCGTAACTCCAGTTCCAGGGGATCCGATAGCCTCTTCTGTCCTCCACGGGCATTGCATGACATGGGTGCACTTACCGATATGCAGGCATAACACTCATACCAAAAAATAAAAATAATAAAAAATATTTAAAAAAAGATTCTTAATGAAAATAGTAATAACCTCATGAGAGAAATAAAACTTATGAGCAAATTAAAGATCTAAGTTAATGCTATAATTGATGATAGCAGAGATTAGGAAAAAAATCCAATTTCTACTGCTGTTATTACACATTCTAATGCACAAAAAACTTGTTTGAATCATTCATGTTCATTTGCAGTTTTACTACAACAAAGAATTTCATTGCTTAATTCACTAAACACAGGATGTTTCTGTATTACTAAATCCAAGGAGTTAAGTCATAGAAAAATAATTTTAGTATATACTAGGTTTATGACCTTTTAGTTTGGTCATCTCAGTAAATAAGTACATTAACCGTCTCTTCCTCTTAATCACTTATTTGCTCAATGAGAATAGGTATGAGACAATAAAGGCTGGATAAATTCTAGCTCTCATTTCATCTCCTTTGAATGTGACCCTAATGACTTCTATGTTTCCAGGGAAGAGTCTAGAACCTAAATGTCTCTTTACATTTCCTGGACATACAAAAACCCTTCCTCCCATGTAAGATATTTTGGAGTATATCTGCTGAAATAATTTATAACTGTTATTCTCCAAAACCCTGCCAGTAAAGTGCTTGCTGCACAAGCATAAAGACTTGAGTTTGGATCCCCAGAGCCCACCTCAAAAGTTAGTGCTGTGGTGCATATCTATAACCTTAAATGCTGGAGGAGGAGAGCCAGCCAGAACCCTAGAGCTCACTGGGCAGTCAACCCAGCCGCTGTGAACTACAAATTCAGTGAAAGACCCTGGGTCGCATAACATAAGGCGCAAAGTGATTGAGAAAAATGTTCAGCATCAACTTCTGGTCTCCGTGTGTGTGTGTGTGTGTGTGTGTACCTGAAAGCATCAGCCCCCTACAAAACACATACACACACACACACCCCCAATTGAATAGCGGTTATTCTTCACATGCTTTTTCAAATAATCCATTATCTTTATGTAATTCAATGGCAAATGATAATTAGTAATCATACAATATTGACACTATATAAATCAGTGTGGATCACTATTATCATGGTTAAAAATCTCACTGCAATGAACTCCATGATAAAAGACCATTATGCTTCATTAACCCCCCCCCCCCAAAAAACAGTGAAGACCAAATTCTAAAATACACAACATATATCAGGATGAATAATGCTTCTGTGGTTAGAAAAGAAAAAAAAAATGCCATGACCCTTTCTGATTAAAGGACAAAAAGACCATAGATGCACTGCCACTAAGGCCTTTTTGGTTCCTGCTAAAAAGAGATGGAAGCCCGCCTTTAGAATGTTTGCTGGGAGTATGAACTGCACTTTGTAAATATGAAGAAAAAAAACGGGCAAGATATTCACCAAAAGTCAGAGCAAAGAGCCAAGGGAAAAATGAAAACCCCCCAAAATGTGTTTCTTAGATTAGTTGTTCTACAACAGGGAGGGAGGAGAGGGAACAGGAAAATGACGATGCTCTTAAGGTCTGTATGGCTCTTGCTTTACATGATGGCTATGGACAAAGATTCCAAATACTTATTCAACATACCACTACAAAATTAAAATTTCCCTTAAAATCGGAAGGTTTAGACTCCATGAATGCCTTTAAAATGTGAACATGCCTACATATGTCTTTCTAGGAAGATGACTAATTTTCATCACCTTTCAAAGCAATAAACATTCATACTCTCTTTCTCTAAAAAAGTAAAAAATCAATATAGTTTTCTTAAAAAAGAATTTAGCAATTAAAAGAACAAACCTTAAAAACCACCTACTTTGAGTACTGGGAAGGTGGCTCAGTAGTGCAGTGCTGGCTATTATATGCAAGGCACTGACTGGGCTGGATGCCCAGCACTGAAAAAAAAAGAGCAAAACAAACTACTGATCTGGACTAATGTTTTCCAATAACTTAGCTAACCAAATTAGATTACTGACCATATGAATATTAGTTATTCAACTAGGAAACAGAATTCACAGTTGAATTTCCATTAAAATACTGAAACAGCAAACATTTTACAATATTGATCAGTGTTGAAATAATATTTTAGACATGAGATGGTAGTAAATATATTATTGAAATAAATTTTATCTAGTCTTAGATGTCAATGAAAAATGTTACTTACGTCCATTATATTTTCATTGGAAAGCTGTGGTCTTAACTGCAGTAGTTAATTCTGTTTTTAATATTTATAATAAATCTTAATGAACTAAATATAATGTTTTTATATCAAATTGGCACAACAGAGTATAATCCAAAATAATTGTTATGAGATAGGAACATCTCTACCATATGCTAAAAACAGTTTACTACATATACTTGCAAGGATTCAGGATTTACAGAAGCATGGCCAATATACTACTAAAAATTCTGCACTAATTCATAAAGGAAATAGATACTAAAAAGCAGAACATTCAGATCCTCTTGGCTCCTAGAGAAACCTCACTCCCCCTCACTGCCAGGTAGGCCCCATTCCTCCTGACAACACTGGCCTACCAACTTCACACCTGGCTTCACAGGGATCTCAAGCCCCGAGCCTCTGGTTGACCAGAGCTAACTCAAAGTAGGACATCTAGGTATGGAGAGCCACACCAGGAGGCAGGGGAGGAGGGGACCAATAAGTGAGTACACTGACCCTTGGATAATAACTGTCACCGCAAATAATAGCAGACTCTCTAAAGAAGATTAGAGGTACAACCTATAGCCCTCAAAACCAGTCACACAGAAGAAACCAATGTGTCAACTCTCTTAGGACCAAGTTTGGTCATCCCTAAACACTGTACATGCCTCCACTGTAAGAAAAAAAGTGATGTGAACAAAAAGAGTCGATCACAAACTACTTCAGATGTGTAAATCCCAGTGCGGAAACAGAAATGACAAGAAAAAGCCACAACCTGCTCCCCCTTCCAATCCCATAGTAATGATCCCCAACAAGAATGACTTGGAACAATTCCAGACAAAGAATTCAAAAGAATGATTATAATGGTGTTCAAACAACTCACAGAAGATATGAATATACTCCAAGAGAACAAAAAACAAAGAACTGAATGAAATGAAAAAGTCAATCCAAGATATGAAAACAGAATTCAATTCAGTAAGAAATAGAATAGCTTGGGCTGGAGAGATGGCTCTGCGGTTAAGAACACTGGTTGTTCTTGCAGAAGACCCAGGTTTGAAACCCAGCACCCACATGGCAGCTAACAACTGTCCGTAACTCCAGTCCATGGGGATCCGACAGCCTCTTCTGACCTCCGCGGGCATTGCACAACACGGGTGCACTTACCTACATGCATACACATTAAAAAAAAGAAAGAAAGAAAAAGAAATAGAATAGCTAAAGAAAACCCAAATTGAAATGATGCTAGAAACGAAAAACTGAGCAAGCCAAATAATAACCTGTTGTATTTGGCTCAACCAAAAAATGGATCGTGTGGAAAATAGACTGTCTGGGTGAAAAGACAAAGTTGAAGAACTGGATCGTTCAGTAAAGGTCCCGATAAATAAAAACAAACAGAAAGAGAGAGAAGAGAATGTGGGAGAGTTCTGGAATACTGTAAAAAGACCTAGCATTCACAGTATGAGCACAGAATAAAAAGAAGAATACCATAACCAAAGGTAGAGAATATCCGGATCAGACTGGTACAAAAAAGAAACTCCCCATAAAGTATATTTAAGATTCTTAAAACACAGAATAAAGAAAGGGTATGGAAAGCTGAAAGAGACAAGGGTCAAGTCACTTATAAAGTCAGGCCCATCAGAACAACACTTGATTATTTGACAGATCTTAAAGTCAGAAGGGCTTAGAAAGATAAATTCAAAATTCTGAAAGATCACAACTATCAACCCAGACTATTATACCCAGCAGAACTATCATAATTTGAAAGACAGAACAAAACTTTCCATGATAAAAAGATTAAGGAATTTATGACCACCAAGACAGCTCTATAGAGGCTACTGAATGAAAAGGAATACTTTGGACTGAAGAGAAGGATAAATTCTCTCAAGTGGCCACAAAAGAAAAAGAAACAATACCAAGACAGTTAATAAAAAGAGGTCAAAGAAAATGCCACAAAAATTAACAAAATGACAGAAATCAAAATCCCAGCACAGATGGTCAAATGACCCCTGAAGCTCCATCTTTGGCAAAGAAGCTATGGGTAGTTGTTGCCTGCTCAAAGGGAAAGTCATTCTTCTTCAGGGATCTGGCTTCAAAATAGGTTGCCAATGCCCCAGTCGATGAACACAGTCATGTGTATATGGGCAGCACTAACTGGACTCAAGACTTACTAATAACAACCAAAGGAAAATAATAAAAAAGGAAGCCGAAGTTTAGAGGGAGATGGGGTAGAGGGGACTAGTGGGAGTTGTAAGACGGCAGTGATAGGCGGCATGATCGAAATACATTATATAAACAGAAGAAAATTTCAACAAATAAAAATTACTTTTTAAAAAAGAAATGCAACATATTTATGATCAACCATTTGCTTATTAAACCACCAGATGATAAGTGTAGGTGACTAAAACCTGAAGAATTAAAAACAAAGCTCAGATTGTTTTTTTAGGATTAGAGACATTAAAAATAATGTTTTGTCAACAGTCTAAGTTTCTACAAGAGATAGTGAATATGGTATTCTAACAACAAAGAGTGCTTCATTCTGTCTAAAGAATCCAGGAGGATTTCTGGGGATGGTATTAAGACTTGAAAGGTAACAGTTCATTAAACTA